TTTTGAACGAAATTTTTGCGAGCAAACTCAAAATAAAAAACTTTATTTGTTTCACGGTTCTAAATTTTTAAGTTTAGCGATCTAATCTGGAATGCACCCTGTATAATGAATAGCATGATGACAAATGAGATCTTTTCCAGCAATAAAATAAATCGTGTCACGCAATTCGATAATTTAACAACAGAGCAACTTTATCACATCAGTAGTAATTATTTATCTAAAATTAGCGACTCCATGACTTTTAATAAGGGCTAATAATTAGTTTTTCATCGTAATTTCTTTTGTTTAACATGCATTTCTAAAACCATTTTCTTAAGAACTACTATACATTATACATTGTATACTATAATTGTCTACTTGCTAATTTATAGCTACTACACATTACACATATCACTTATAGACTTTGCGTTGGTGTGTGTGTGTGTGTGTGTGTGTGTGTGTGTGTGTGTGTGTGTGTGTGTGTGTGAAAATATATTTTACCTTCTAGATTAATAAATATATCAGAAGCAAAAATGCGAAAACGCAATTCCAATACATGAAGTTGATTAAATGTTGTTTTTATTCCAGATCTGGCTATAATAAATGGAGAGATGCGATGAAACCAACTCAAATACTCTTGAAGCTTTGCAAAGATGGTAAAATCGATGGGCCAATATATTCTCATGGCCGTGTTACAATCGGTAGAAAAACTTTCTCCCTTTCAAACGAGGAGATGGAATTTTATGTACATGCAAAGGGTACGTGAAAAGATCGAAATGCAAGAATAATCAATACTTCAATATTTGAATATATGTTACATATATTGTAAAATAGAAGATAACTTTGGTCCAGTCCGGATAAGTTTGGCCCAAATTTTAAAACATGTCTACACAACACTAGGAAAAGATCTAAAATCGAGATAGATAAAACATCTTAAGATGTTTTGAGATATCTTTATATCAATAAATTTTGACATGCTGCCTAGGCAATGTCAAAATATAGACCAAAATTATCCTATTTAACCTATCCTATATTTTGATTTATTATTTATATATATCTATATTTACATATAGATATATTTATATATATCTACACAAAAATTATTTAATTAAATTTTATTTAATTACAATAGTCGGAAAAAGTTAATAATAATTACATAAAGAGAAAATACGTATGAAGTAAAATTTACATAAATAGATAAATTATATAACATAAAATATAATTTAATATAATATATTTAATATAAGAGGATTTATGCTGTTTTTGATTCAACGTTGATTTAACACATAAATCACATATATCATATAAAAGATTATTTTTTTTTAGGAATGGAAGAACATCTCGCCTTAGCCGTTCTTCATCAATGGAATGCTTTTCCGCGAATAGGTTGTGCCTTGGTATCTGAGCATGTGGAGACCCGACCTCTCTATAATCCCGAGAAACCAGGTATTGAACAGGGAAAATTGGAAATGTGGGTGGACATGTTTCCAATGGACATGCCCTCGCCGGGACCATCCATCGACATTTCACCGAGAAAGCCCAAGAGCTATGAATTGAGAGTAATCATATGGAATACAGACGATGTCGTCTTGGAAGACGATGCATTCTTCACCGGCGAAAAGATGAGCGACATTTATGTAAAAGGGTAAATACAGATTTCTAAGGAAAATAAATTTTTCATCAACGTTTTTTATATATAATTGAATAAAAAAATTAATGTTAATCTTAATTATTATTGATAATAATAAGTAAAATGTAATCTCTCAACCACAAAATATTTCTCTTAATTTTTTTTTTCTAACAATAGTTTAATTAAATACGTTATTTTGTTCAAAATTTTATTTAATTTTTTATAATAAATAATTATATTGCATATCATTTCAACGTTATTTAACAGATGGCTAAAGGGACCGGAGGATTGTCAATTCACCGATATTCATTATCGATCATTAACCGGCGAAGGAAACTTTAATTGGCGCTTTACATTTCCATTCGATTATCTAGTAGCAGAAGAGAAGATCGTTATTAATCGTAAAGAAAGCCTATTTAGCTGGGACGAAACCGAATGTAAAATACCAGCACGCCTAGAATTACAGGTAATTAAATGATACTTTCGATCTCGTTCCGATAAAAATAATGACGCTTTTTGTAGGTCTGGGATGCGGATCATTTCTCAGCAGATGATTTCTTGGGTGCAATAACACTTGATCTCAATCGATTTCCCCGAGGAGCAAAAAATAGTAAGCTTTGCTCATTAAGCATGCTAAAAACAGATGGATCTGTGCCAACGGTTAACATTTTCAAGCAAAAACGTATAAAGGGATGGTGGCCGTTTTATGTGAAGAAAGAGAATGAAGATATGGAGTTGACGGTAAAAAGATATCACTAAGTATAACTATAAATATAAAATTTTTAATATACAGGGTGAACAAAAAATATCGAACCGGCTAAGTATCTTGAAAACAAGGCATTTGAGAAAAAAAATATTTCTTATAATAGTTGTAAAGTTTTATCAAACGACAATATCCATCTGATCTTGAACGTAAGTATGAAGAAGCTTTCAAAGTCAATTAAAAATTTTTAATTGAAATTCCTATTTTTTATTCAATTTTATTTATTCTTATAATTAAGTTCAGATCTTTTTAAAATAATAATACTATGATAAAACTTTTTTTGGTTAAATACTATAAGTAGGTTTCCATAACGAAACTATTTGTTAAAAAATATAAATTATTCAGAATTATTCAGAGAACTATTAATGTCATGTAGTGTTAAAGGACATTATTATTCAGTACTATTGGAATATGTATTGTTTATTGGAAACTCTGGTAGCAATCTTTTGACGTCAAAATGACGACAAAATGATGTAGCTTGCTATTTAGGAATTGAATAGTAACTATAGAAATAAAAATCTGAATAGTTCTCAATACTTTTCAATAGTTTTTTTCCATACAAGATAATAGATTCAGGTATTGCTGGCACTAGTATTATTCAAAGGATCGCTGGAACTTTTTGAATTTATGAAAAATGAAAATAAAAAGAATGGTTTCAATGGTCTTGAGTTTCATATATATCACTCCATATATCTTGAAAAGTCGATATTGTGACATTAAAAAAATCTTTTGAAATCGATAAAATCTTTCGTTTCAATTCTTTTATTATTTTTCAAGATATATGGACTTTTATTACTTTTCAAGATATATGGACCTTGAGCTCGATCAATCCATCTACGTCAATCCATATATCATCTTGAAAAGTATTTAATAAAAAAATTAACTTTGAAAAGAGAGATAGTTTTGAATAGTTTTGACGTATGAGTTAACTGCGGCAAAGTCAAATTTGTTGAAAGTCGTCCGTCTTATTCTCATTTTTCGTAAATTCAAAAGATTTTAACTATCGATCCGGCGATCAGACTCTTATTTATACATAATACTAGCGATATCTAAATAGATCGAAAAGTCTTTAATCAAAAGAAGTTTTATTGTAATGTTTTGAAAAGTTTTTAATGTCCAAGAATAGTGAATATTGGAAAAAGTAAGAATTTCCATTACAAATTTTTAAAACTTGACTTTGAGAATGTTTACATACGTGCGTTTAAATTTAAATAGATTTTGCCATTTGATGAAACTCTACAACTTTTATATGAAACTATTTTTTCTCAAATACTTTATTTTCAAAATATTTAGCCGATATTTTTTATTCAGTATGTTATATATTTATAAATAGCAACCTTTTAATTTTTTACTTAAAAATATATTAAATTTGTATTTTTATTAGTATTTTATATTA